AACTTATAAAAATGAATTCACTTCCTCTTAAATATCTTAATAAAAAAAGCAATTAAATGTGAAATGAATTTTATCTTGTAAAATCACACATGAGAGTTAGTGGATATACCTCTGGTATGTAAAACACTAGGCTATAAATGGATTTTCAAGAGGAAAATGAAAGCAGATAGATCCAAAGAACATGAGAATAGGTTTGAGCACAATTACATGTGGTGTCAATATGTACCGATTTCATGTTTGAAAATTTTGAATCAAATGCTACTTTTTACTCCAAGAGCTATTTCCATTAAATCCAATAATATTGGTTGGAATTCATCAAACTAAGATAAAGGTTTTGATGAATATTAAGATATTCAACATGAAGTTGAAAGGACTATGAATGGAAATATGAGTATTCTAAATTTGGAATCGTATGACCGTTTCTTAGAAAATTATATTGGATTAAGTTGTAAAAAGTAATAATGGTTTTACCGTTTGAACTATTGAGTTTGAGAAATCACTATGGTTTAGTGGATTTTCAAATGTGAAGTAAGAGTTAATGGCATATTTGAATATATATTTGGATTACAAACATAAAAATGCCTTGATTTTTCATTTATATGCTCTTATAATCATATGTGGTTGTAACTTCTTGAAATTTGGAAGTATATCATTATGATATGAAACTAAAACTTCTAAGCATATATTTAGAAGTATAAATCTACATGGAACTACCAAACAGTTATCTTACGCGGAGGAAAACAACAAATGTGTAACTAGTAAAGTCATTATATGATTTAAAGCAAGCTTTTGAGCAACAAGTATCAAAAGTTCGAATATGTAATTCAACATCAATGGATGTAATAACTTTAAAGTGTTATTCTATTTTATGACATAGTAGGATCCTAGAGATAGGATGCCTTAAGAATTTACATGTAGATGGTTAAAGCAATAAATTTCATGGAAAAATACGATATTTGCAAGGAAACTCATGTTTGGTATATTCATAATTACATGACCAATATTATTGTGAATTCACAAATACGTGTAGTGCATATGTTTATCGTATTATGTTGACACAGTTATGCATATTCAATAGTGATAACTATGGTGTAGTAATAACCATATTGATAATGGTCAACATTTGTTGGAAAATATAGTAGAACAAGTTTACAAGTTTATCCAAGGTTAGACAATGAACTAAAGAGATTCGTAAGTTCTTGGGAGATGTCACATGATGAGCTAATATCTCCTATATATGTACATGATGGTGAGTCTAGACGTATTTGTCAAAGACATAATACCATTTAATAATGTCTCTCAAGATGAACTATCTTTAATGATTACATAAATCAAAATAAGATTGCGGATCTGCTAATGAAATGTTTGAAATGATAGTTTGTTACGAGGAATGGGACTAAAACCCATGGATTAATAAGTTATTGCGAAAGAAAACCCAACATAGTTGATTGGAGATCCCAAGATCTAGGTTTAATGGGACAACCTACTTGCATATAACATTTGTGAATCATTGTGGGGGTTATCCTCAACTCATTCCTAAAACAAACGGTGATGCAGGTTAAGCTTATAGACATAGATGATAAATTGGAAAGCGTCACAAATTTGCTTTTAGTGATTATTATAGAACTACCTATGTGAGAGAGAAGTAGGGTCGCTTCAAAGGGAATTGTATGGGCACCTAACTAGGTCAGGGAGAATCATGTGAGAAACATGTTGATTATTTACACAAACGGCAGAACAATTCAAGGACATCGAGTCTATTGGTCCACTAGTAAAATAAATATATATCTTAGGGGAAGGTTCAAAGGGTAGCACCTATGCATGATTAAACTGTTGGATTTTATCTAGGTAGCTTGAAAATGTTTGATCAATTTTCATTCATGTGGGAGATTGTTGGAAAATTGGTTTTAACCAATTTATAAAAATGGGTTTCCTCATTTTTGAACGCGAAATTTGAACCCTAAACCATTATTAAATGAATAAATGGTTATACGTGTAACATCCCAAAAATCAAGGAAAAATTTTCATTTTTAAAACCTTTCCAAAATCCATAAGTTTTACAAAACAAGTTCTCAAAAGCTACTATCATGAAATAAAGTATCCCAAAATCTTAAAAAAAACACATAAAATCCAGGATGATGTGCATGATCAAGCTTTCGCCTTGCCCTATGTCCTCTGAAGTACCTAAAACCAACAATCAAACTGTAAGCCAAAGCTTAGCGAGTTCCCCCAAAGTACCACACACAACCAAACAGACAACATCATGCAAATATGATCCTTCAGCATGACTAGACCGCCTCGCAGGGCATACATCCTATCTGGACCGCTCTCCGCTCCTTCGGCCTAACTGGACCACCTCGCAGGGCCTACAGCCTATCCGGACCGCCCCGGGTATCTTGGCCTTCAGCACAAAGCAGGACCACATCAACCCAACTACAATATGTCGACATATACAACAGATAAACATAAACACATATCCAACAAATACAAGTAACCATATAGGTCTACCAATATATCATATAACCAACATAACATCATCATATATACCAGGATACATAATCTAGTGGGTCGACATTAGTGCCTTTGACCCACAAGTACAGTGAGGAAAACTCACCTCACAGCATCAAAGGTAGTTGAGCTGATTGTTGCTCCAAATAATGTCTCTACATGTCACCTATACAATAAAAAGTTATCAATCCTCAATTAACCATTTAAAATACTCTATTTGAACTAAAGTTAATCTTGGTCAACGATCAGAGTCAACGGTCAAAGGTCAAAATCCTTATTCAAAAATCTTACAGCATGCCGTCACCTCATGACCCTCTAATTGTCACGTCATGACCTAATGAGACAAAATAGTTGAGATGGTCCATTCTCACGTTGTGAACCATGAATGCTCACGTCGTAAGAAATGCTCTGAACAGTTTTGTAGAAATAAGTTCTTAATCCTTTAACAGCCAACACTTCAAGAATGGCTCATCTATGTTATAACATCATAAAGATTGTGGCTTTTTGGACATGCATGTCCAATGCATGTCCCAAATACAAACTAGGGCACAAAAAGGAAGAAATGGCATCAAAACTCATGCAAGAGTCTCAAAATTCAACCACACTTCAAATCTAGCACTTATCTTATCAAAGGGACGTTAGAGATCCATAAAGTTGGCAACTTTATGGATTCCAAACACCATATCACCAAATCCAAGAAAGAAAATTTATAAGAAACCTAGATTTAAGCTTATAAACTCATAAAGCTATGATCTTGAAAACTCACAATGGTCCAGAAGGTGTGGAAATAAAAAATGGAGAGGCTTGAGTGTTGAGATGATGGCTAGATGGTCTTCTTTTTCTTTTTTCTTTGCTAGAAATCACCACAAAGATCTCAAAACCAACTATGGAGCGTTAGGATTTCAAAGGGGAGTGTTGAGATGTGATGGAGGCTGAGGGTGGGCTAACCCTAGCCCTCACTTCCTTTAAATACGAAACAAAACCCCCAAAATTATGGTTTGCCTCTCAGACAAGACTCACGTCGTGAGCCATATGTGCTCACGTCGCGAGCACCAAAGATGATGCACGCTTTGAACATGTTATCACGACGTAACAGGCATCCCTCACATCGTGAGCCATGTGAAACTCCAAAATTTAACTCAATGAAATGATTACCTGAACTGGGTGTTACAATATGTTTGTGTTCCCCTCCGTGATACCTTCGTTTTGGTATATCACATGTCCAAAATGGATTTAAGATGAATGAAAAATTAATCCTTAAAGTAAGGGTGTTGGAAGAAGTAAAATAAAATAGTTTAATGGGTGGGAGAAAGTAAAGAAAAATTCAGGGACCTTTCTTGCAAATATTTCTTTCTTTCGTAACTAGAACTGTAGTTAATATTACAGTTTAATTACATATTAAACATACATTAATCTTGTGATTAATAGAGGTGTTTAAATGTGAGGTTATAGAATGTGTAATATAAATACCACTACTCTACAACATTTGGAAACACAAAAGAGAATGCCAAAACTCTTTTATTCTCCGGTTTATATTCTTCGTTTTTTTCTTGTTATATCAAATGTATAATCTAGGCCTAATGAGGGTTCGGGTGGTCTTGAAGAGCAAATTCAAACTGGTGTATTCTTGAAAACAAACATCTGGTAGGAAGCAAATATGTTTTAAGGACAATATGTTAAACATATGTCTTATTTTTTTTTGTTTTCTTGTTTGCTTTCGTATATTTCCGTAATATTATTCCTATAAGATATATATTCTAGCTTTTAGTGCACCTTTACTAGTAAACGTCTACGTGTTCATTAAGTAAATAAATATCTTCTCATACCCGTTGATTGGCTTCTTCGATTCGTGTCGTCACTTCAAATATGTAATCAAACATCTTAACTGGTGGTGGAATCTTCCTCACAATGCCAAACACAAAATTCATATGAATTCATTTTATAGTGAATAAGAAAATGTTATGATTATACACTTTATATAATACTCGGAAAAAAGATGGCATGTGAAAAATAAATATTGTTATGTGAATTCATAAAGAATGTGATGAATGAAAGTAAATATTGAAAACTTAATTGTAATTGTACTAAAATAATCATCTTTACTTACCATTACCATTTCACATATGATGTTGCAGATATCATCTATAAAATGGTAAAAGAATAACTGAATAACAAATGGTAACTACAATTTCATTGATATCATCTGCCAAATGGTTTATCAATTTTTTTTAAACAAAACAATAACTTCTCGGATGACATTAGTTTTATCATGGCATCAACAATTTGGCGGATGTCATGTGCAAAATTGATAATTATTTTTAATAACCTTCCATTTTTTAATTAAGTTTTTAAAAATAATAAATGGAATAACCTGATTTGTCGCTTTTTTTACACGAAAATGTAAAAATTTTCATAATTTATACCAGAAAATAATGCTGTGTCAACGCGCCTTGTTGACCATAAACACAACAAAACCCAAATTATCTTCTTTGTCCATAACCACAGCGCAAGTTCTTTTTTTTATTTGATTATTTTGTTCGTTCATGGACTCCTCCGCTCAACAAAAAGCATGACCAAATCCAAGAACTTCTTCCAAAACATCATCAAACCCTTCAGTTCCAGCTCAACGAAAGGTAAAAGCAATCATTTCGTTTTTGAACAATTCATCAATGATTGCATTTGATAGGAAGGAGTTTTTTTTTTTTTTTTGTTTATTTTATCATCTCGATGATCTGTTTGTCAAAGATTTTGCCTTTTCTTATTGTGTTTTTGAATTTGTAATCAGAAAGCCAAAAAGAAGATTTGTCAAAGCTCGCTGCTCAAGATCAAAAAGTTTTCACTTTCCAAACCCTAGTTTCTGCAACAAAAAATTTCCACCCTGATAAGAAGCTTGGTCAAGGGGGTTTTGGCCCTGTTTTCAAGGTTTTTATTCATCTCTATACCCTTTTTGTGTCACCATTCTTAATTGCCGTATCGTTGCAAAATAACCATCTTTATTGATAAATACGAACGAATGATTAATTTGGAACAGATTTTGTAGTTGTTGAACTTTCTTGTTCTATCTTTCCTTTCTGTTTGTATTTGTTTTCATTATTCTGTTGGTAGAGAAGTTTAAAAAAGTAATAGCTTTTGACGCATTGCAACCGGCATTATGTTCCCAATTGATCAACATACTTGCATCTCTTAGGAATCCAAGTTTTATCTAACCTCATAATCTTATTGTAGTGAATCGATTGTTTTGGTTGTATAGGGAAAACTCAATGATGGAGTGGAAATTGCTGTGAAGAAGCTATCACACACCTCAAATCAAGGGAAAAAAGAGTTTGTAAATGAGGCCAAATTATTGGCACGTGTACAACACCGTAATGTTGTGAGCTTATTAGGGTATTGTGTTTCCCCCGAGAAGCTTTTGGTATATGAATACGTACCTAATGAAAGCTTAGACAAGCTTCTTTTCAGTAAGTCCTTGATCTTTGACCAAACTTTTATTCAATTTTGAATTTTAATCTTCTTCAATTTTATTTATAAAATGATTGTGATTTTGTTGATGTAGAATCTACAACGCGTGATGTATTGGATTGGAAGCGTAGATACGACATAATTTCTGGTGTAGCACGAGGCTTACTTTACCTTCATGAGGATGCACATGATTGCATTATTCATAGAGATATAAAAGCTAGTAATATTTTATTAGATGAAAAATGGGTACCCAAGATTGCTGATTTTGGTATGGCTAAACTTTACCCTGAAGATCAAACTCATGTGAACACTCGTGTAGCGGGTACCAAGTAAGTTTTTTTTTTTTTTTTTTTTTTTTTACTTGATTGCGGCATAGTTTGCTCTTTTGGGCATGGTTTAAGTGAATTAATTACACTTTTACCCTTTTCGGTATAGTGGATATATGGCACCCGAGTATGTCATGAAAGGTAATCTATCGGTCAAGGCAGACGTATATAGCTTTGGTGTGGTGGTTCTTGAGCTCATTAGCGGTCAAAAGAACTTTACTTTCAACCTCGATCTCGATTGCATAAATCTTCTTGATTGGGTAAGAAGTTTAATAGTTTTTTTCCTGCATTCCTTTGGAATCGTGGATTCCGTCGGAATTGGAATTCGTGATTCCGTCCGAATTGAAATTTGTGATTCCATCCCTAACTATTTTTTTTTACAGGCATACAAGATGTACAAGAAAGGAAAAGGGCTTGAAATTTTGGAGGCAAGATTGGCTTCTTCAGCTGATCCTGATCAAGTAGCTACTTGCATAAAGATTGGATTATTATGCACCCAATATGATCACCATCTACGGCCCACAATGAGCCGTGTGGTGCTGATGCTATCCCGGAAGCCAAGCACGCTCGATGAACCAACCCAACCCGGGTACCTGGGCTCGAGACACAGGCGGTCTCGTGAGCCCGGTACATTCTCTTCTTCAGAAGGGACTTCCGGCGGGTCCAACTCCACCGCCACTGCCTCCACCACCACCGCCACCGGAACTGCTACTTCATCTGCCCGTGCAATTTCAAGTTCCGATCATCGGCATAGGCATCGTGGGTCAACTTCCACGGGTCCAGTATCGGACCCTTATGGGAAACGGCCGGTAGATAATAATAGGTTTTTTACTAGATAATATAGGAAACTATTGGATAGTATTTTTGTACAAAAAATAGTAGGGTAGATTTGGGAAGGATGTAAAGTAAATAACAAGGTCTAATTGGTATTTAGCATACAAATATTGATTGTTTTGGGGTGACTTAATGAGAGAATTTAACTTGGTTCAATTTTCAAACGCCTTGTGGTGAAATAAGAAAATCTAATATTTCGTTTTGAGTAGATTTTTCGTGAAATGTTCATGTAATTTTCCTAAAATTCTCGGACAATATATGATTTTTTCCGGCCGTCTTACTCAAGATCTTGAGGAAAATAGATAATGATTTAAAAGGGTAACATAGTTTAGATTGTGTATATATTTATTCACTTATGTTTGCTTTTGTATACGTTTAGTCATTATGTTTTTTTGTACATATTTAGTCACTTATGTTTTTTATTTTGTACAAAAAACTAAAATATAAATGACTAAATGTGTACAAAGTAAAAAAAAATAAAATAAATAATGATCATATATATACAAAATTAAAAACATAAGTGACTGAATGTATACAAAAGAAAAACATAAATGCCTAAATATTTACAAAATTAAACATAATTGGCTAAATATATACAAAATTAAACATAATTCGCTAAATATATACACAATCTAAACTATGTTACAATTTTAAAGCATTAAAATTTAGAAAAGGCAAACAAAAGAGCTCAAAAACCCCAAATCTAAATTGTATTAGAGTTTGGTTCTAAAACACGAAATATAGAAGAAGAAAAAAAGCTTACAACCTCCACTCAAAGCTTCATTCCGAAATACGGGCCTGAAAGATTCAAACCCTAGAACTCATAATGTAACATATCGATTTACAGATATTTACATTTTTGACCCTTATGAGGAGATTGTTTGCAAAATGGTCCAATGTGGCACTTAAATAAACGCGTGGAGCTGATGGCGTACGTTTGGTATGTCGGGCGTATGTGGCTGATGGCCAAACCCTAATTTTTAGGGTTTGGACCCTATTTAAACGTCATTAACCCCCCAAGGCTCTTTCCCTCATTAGCCTCCAGCCTCATTTCATGTTTTACAAACCTTAATCTCTAGTGTGAGGATTTTTTTTACCTTGAGTGTGTATTTTGGTGATCTTGAAGGATGGAGAAGGGAGTGTTATCACCTTGGGAGCTCAAAGACAACCTAGATCCAGAAGCACATCATCATTTTGCACCACTTTGAGGTAAAAAGCTCTGATCTTGATGAAGTTTTTCTTAGATCTTATTAGCCATGGATTTGTGTTCATTTTGGTCCCATAAGCTTGGTGTTTATGAGTATGGTATACTCTAAATCATATGAGTTGTCCTTTAAGACGTTTTGGAGTGTGTAGAGTCATAAAAATGTAATATTGGTCCTTAGTTTCCTTCCATGCATGGGCTATGATGTCTTAATGAGTTAAGAAGTTAGGGTTTTGGTACTGGGCACTTTCTAGCATGCAAAGTCATAACGTTGGAAACTTTATGACTTAGAATGTTATTTTGGGACTATATCTGCATTTTGACAAAAGGACTTAATGGATTAAGCCCTGGTTAGAAGGAAAAGTTGGCAGCGGAGTACGTTGGGCGTACTCCTGAGTACGCTGCGCGTACTCCCTTAAGCCTCCGATCTGGATGACGAGTACGTCGCGTGTACATGTTGAGTACGTTGGGCGTACTCAGCAGAGTTGACTCGGTTGACTTTTGATCTTTGAGCATGACCAGGATTTTGACCAAGTTTGACCTAGGGGTATTTTGGGTGTTTTGAACAATGGTTTGAGACAGGGTCACTGTTTGTTGTGCAGGTGACCTGTAGAGTTGGTATACGGAACGGTGTTGTATCCAGATATCTTTTCAGATTGATAGGTGAGTTTTCCCTCATTGTACTTGCGGGCCGAAGACACCAATGTTGGCCCACTATATTATGTATCCTAGTATATAGGATGTTGTTATGCGGTAGTGATCTGTTAGACCTATATCCTGGTATATAGGATGTTGCTATGCGATAGTGATCTGTTAGACCTGTATCCTGGTATATAGGATGTTACTATCCTGATATATGTCGACATAGTGTGGGTGGGTTGAGACTGTACTGCTTTGTGCAGTCAGTCAACAAACCCGGGGCAATCCAACCGGGAGGTTGTGGGCCAGGGCATCCACTCGGAGTTTGTGGGCCAGGGTAGTCCAACCGGAAGGTTGTGGACCCAGTATGCAATACGTATGGCAATCCAACCGGGAGGTTGCGGTCCAAGGTAATCTGTAACGACCCAAAAATTATAAGGTAAAAAATTCATTTTTAGTTTAATCAGAAACACCAGTTATCTTTTTCCAAGCATTCAAAAGTATATCATAATAAAACAATTATCAGAGTACAATCCCAAAATCATCAAGTTGCGGAAACATGGGTGGATGCATTTCGATCAAGTCGGGTCCTTCCCTTTCGAACGGGAAGTACCTGAAACCATAACCATAAAAAACGTAAGCACAAAGCTTAACGAGTTCTCCAAAATACCACATACCAATCATACAACTGGGCTTAACCCTGGGGTATAATCCAACCCAATATACACATATGGTCCCTGCCATGGGGTGTATTTCAACCCGATCAACACATATGGTCCCCGCCCTGGGGTATCTTTCAACCCAATCATACAATAGTGGGCCCCGCCCTGGGGTCTGTTTCAACCCGAACATACGATAGTGGGCCCCGCCTTGGGGTCTATTTCATCCCAGCATATAATCACATATAAACCACATAGCAGCTATCATCCTAAGTAATACAAAAATAAGCCGGCATTGATGCCTTCAACCCATGGATACTATGAGAAGACTCACCTCAATCCGAGATAGCCGAGATACACGCTCGCTGCTACCGGAAGCCTCACACTGAACATAACCAATTATCCTTAATCAATACTTAAGACAACTCCCAAAATCCAAGGTCCAATCTATATTTTATTTTTCCAATGGGTAAAAGACCATTTTACCCTTCCCATAACTGGTCTAATAATTCATGGCCCAACCTCCAAAAGGCCCACGACCCAAAATGCCTATGAACTTCTCCGGAGTATGCCCTACGTACCAGAATCATACGCCCCTCGTATTGCCCAAGGATGCACAACGTACAAGTCACCGAGGCGTAACTCGAGGAATCCATGCATTACGCTGAGTGTATACCTACGTACGCCCAACGTACTCATCAGAGGTCCAAAACTCGTATTAAGCTCTTAATGGTTAAGACCAAAACGACCAAACACATATCTGACCCTTAAAGGGTGTCTTAAGTCATAAAGTTCCTGACTTTATTACTTTGCCTGGCTTAATGGTGTCCAAACCACAATCCAAGCTTCCTAACTTCATCAAAAGGTCACCAATTCTTGCATGAGAGGATAATACTCCTTAAGATCCAAACTTTATGACTTAATGACCTCAAAAGGACCAAATATGAGGCTCAAAGGTTCTTGAGTAACTTCTACTCACAATAACCAAAATCTTGGGACCAAAACATAACAATACCACCCAAACTAGATCTACGAGATAAGTCATCAAGGTTAAGACTTTATACCTCTAGAAGATAGATCAAGGTGCACAAATTCTGGATCCACAAGTTCCAGGCTAACCAACACTTCTCCAATGAGATCCTTCCTCTTCAATGTGTACCAAAAACATTCCAAATCAATCAAAAGCCCCAAGAATGCTCAAACGAATGTTAGGGTTTCGATTTTAGGGTTAAGGTTGATAGAGGCTGAAGATAATAGGGTTTGTTCATAAGTTAAGGCCTTTAAATAGGATCCAAGACCCTAAATTTTGGGTTTACACCTAAATGGAGTACGCATAGAGTACTCCAAGGTCCCTTCGCGATCAACCATCCTAGTACGCCCGACGTACTCCCTATACGCCCAGTGTACTAGGCGTAGCCCTAAAACCACCAAACTTTCGAAGGCCATAACTTCTTCGTTCTAAGCCTGATTTCAACGATCCTTATATCCACGGAAAGGTAATGAGAAGCTCTACAATCCTATCATCTCTCATTAGTCTTATAACTTTCCGAACTTATATCCAAAATTCATAAAAGGCCCAAACCATCACTTTATAGTTATACCCTTGGGCCCCAAAGCACAAACCAAACTCTCGGATCACCTAATCTACATTATCCAAATCCAAAAGGGGTTTAAATCTCTCTTTCCTTAAAGCGTAAAGCCTTATGATAACTGATCTTCGGGTCACAACCCCGAATTAGGAAACGATTCGAAACAAGGTGTTACATAATCCAACTGGGAGGTTGTGGGCCCAGCATGCATTATGAATATATGTTTGGTTGTGTGTGGTACTATGGGGGAACTCACTAAGCTTTGGCTTACAGTTTCAGTTTATTGTTTTAGGTACTTCAGAGGATCGTGGAAAGGCAAAGGCGTGATCGTGCACATCCCCTTGGTTTTATGATTTTGGATTTTGGGATACTCTGATTATGAGTATTACTCTTGCAAATAATGTTTTGTAAACAATTGTGGTCGTTGGTTGTTTTTGCACAAATAAAAATTTTAGTCTGATTTTTGGGATGTTACACATAAACCCTGAAAGATTCTGAAACTCATAAACGATATGACGAAACTCAAACCCTAGAACTCGATCAAGGTCAAATGGGGTTCCAAACTCAAGATTCAAATGAAAAAAACCATGGATAAACTCAAACTTCTGTGTTTTTTCTTACTTTGATTTGGAAACTCGAATTCGTGGATGAACTCTAAAATAAAAAAATAAAATAAAAATCCATGGATGAACTCGAAGATGAACTCATATCTCTGTAAACATCATGTCGCCAGAGAAGATGACAGGAGGCTCATCGGAGATGCCAAAGTCACCGGTAAACCCAAATTTTGGTCGGAAACCTACAAGTGGTACTAACTAGGTACTAACTTTGATGTATCTTTAATGTATCTTGTATGTATGTATGTGTGTTTGTATATATGTATATATATATATATACACACACACACACTAGGTACTAACTTTGTACAGAATGAGAACAATGATACCATTTTAAGTCAATATCCCTAAGCTGAATGCTTAATGAGTAAATTTGAATTTTTGTCCCAATATAAAGTTACCATAACTTCATCTTACATAAGTAATATATTTATTAGAATTATTTCATGCACCAAAAACA